CTACTCAGGAGGCTGAGATCTGAGGATCGAGGTTCAAAGCCAGCCCAGGCAGGAAAGTCCATGAAACTCTTATCTCCAATAAACACTCAGAAAACCGGAAGTGGCACTGTAGCTCAAGTGGTAGAGCGCTTGCCTTGAGCTGAAGAGCTGAGGGATAGAGCTCAGGCCCAGAGTTCAAGCCCCACAACCAACAATAACAACAACAAAAAATTCCTAGAGTTATATTATAGAAGAATTTTACATTGGGTTTTCCCAACTGAAAGACTACTTTTTTTGTTGTTCAGTTAAATCTATTAGGAATTCTAATAATCCATGACATATTAATGCCATGGATTTTTTAGTTATCTCTATCCAGCTTACCTAAATGCTCTTCCTGTATAGCCTTTATATGGCCTCACCACCTAGCTAAATTAATTATCTTCTCTTTCTATTCTATCCCATTTCAGAATCATCTGTTTTCAAGACTGTGGCTACACAAATTTTAAAACAAGGGCAGAAAGTACCTGATTCAGCCTTTGGGAAACTCTCCTGTAAAGATTTACCAATACACTGCTAAACTGTTCAGATTCATGATTGTCCTGAGTTCAGAACTCAAAGGGATATAGCCAAAGAAAGAAATTTTTAGTATAAAAGTAGGCAAATTTCAGCCAAGAAGGTTAGAAGAAATGTTTAAAATAATAAGTTGTAGATCATAGCATATGTGTTTATCAGCAGATGATCAAATAATAAAATGACCTAGTGTAACCCATTTAATAAAAACAAAAATGGTTGTTTCAAATTGTTTCAGAACTAGATGGTAAGGCCTACAAGCCATAAAGGCATACAAGTTAATTAGCTGAAAGTATATACTCATTATTTTCCATAAAATTTTCTAATGCCTTTGCCTGGTCTCCCTGATAACCATCCTGGAATGATGGCAGTTACTTTAGCAATTTATGGGTTACAGTTTCACCAAATGTCTGTTATATTCAAAGGAACAGAATTTCTGAAGAGGAGCTGGTGATGTAGTTTAGTGGTAGAGTGGTGCCTTGTGTACGTTAAGACCTTGAGTTCAATCCCTACCACCTACCACCACAAGGAAAGAAGAAGAAGAAGAAGAAGAAGAAGAAGAAGAAGAGGAGGAGGAGGAGGAGGAGGAGGAGGAGGAGGAGGAGGAGGAGGAGGAGGAGGAGGAGGAGGAGGAGGAGGAGGAGGAGGAGGAGGAGGAGGAGGAGGAGGAGAAGAGGAGGAGAAGAGGAGGAGGAAGAGGAAGAGGAAGAAGAAGAAGAAGAAGAAGAGGAGGAGGAGGAGGAGAGGAGGAGGAAGAGGAAGAGGAGGAGGAGGAGGAGGAGGAGGAGGAGGAGGAGGAGGAGGAGGAGGAGGAGGAAGAAGAAGAAGAAGAAGAAGAAGAAGAAGAAGAAGAAGAAGAAGAAGAAGAAGAAGAAGAAGGAGAAGGAGAAGGAGAAGAAGGAGAAGAAAAGGAGGAGGGAGGAAGAGGAGGAAGAAGAAGAAAAAGTAGGAGAAAGAGGAAGAACAGAAAGAAAAGAAGAAGAATTGGCCAAGAAAGATGAACACTTGCCCGCCAATATAGATTGTCAGACTATGAGGACAGGGCCAGAAGTCAAGACAATTTTTTTTTAATAAAGAATATGTCTAATCAAAAGAAAAAGGAGAAGAGCCTATTGAAAACTAAGTAAGGATTAACAATATCATCAAAGGGAAAATGTTATTAGACAATATGAAAAATGGTTATTCTTGCTTCTGACTAAAGAAAAACAAATAAGACAAACAAAATATTTTTCCATCACATGGCAGAGATGGAAAACTGGTAACAAAGGCTGGGAGCAGAGCAGATTGACTGTCCTGTGCATTTTTGACAAATGATAAACTGACAAATGTTTACCACAGACAATATGACAATCTTCAATATCCTAAAAAGTGCATCCATCTTATCAAATATTCAGTAATATACAATATATTATATATAATATTATATAATATATAAAAGAAATAATTGAGAATATTGTTTACTGGAACCATGTTTGTATGATCCTCTTAAAATCCTAGATATTCCAGAGGCCGAAATCTGAGGATCACAGTTTGAAGTCAGCCAGCTAGGAAAGTCCATGAGACTCTTCTCTAAATGAACCACCAAAAAAGCCAGAAGTGGGGCTGTGGCTCATGTGCTTTAGCACCTGCCTTTAGCAAAAAGCTAAGGGACAGCCAGACCCTGAGTTCAAGCCCAACTACTAGCACAAAGAAAAAACAACACAAAACCTCATCTCTCTGTATTTTCTATAATTTTTTAACTTCTAAATTAAAATAGACTGTTTTAATTGTAAAATTAAAGAAATACAAGCTTATCTTCTCCCAGAAATAACTGGAAGGGGTACTGTGGGACAAGCACATGGTTAATGATGAGTTTGGGTACTTCTTTAGCAAGAGGTACCTAGAACAGGCCTCCTTCCACAGCCCTTTCATTGTTTTGTTGCTGCTGCTAAAGTTCCAAGAATTCTTCCTGGGAGATCATTTTCATAATGAAATATTAATAAAGTAGTTTCTCCTTCAAAGATTGTGCTTTTTTGGTCCCACTGAGAGTATCCAGAAGTCTCTGGAGAAAGTTGTCTGTGTGTCTACATTCCTAACTTGACAATCTTCTAAGTTCTCTTACGTTAGTAAAGAGCAAACCAGATCTGTGCAGAGCCCAAGTTTCCACTTCACATGTTGGAATAAGGGTTGGGACACAGCTCAGTGGGAGAGCACATACTTCTGTGGAGAAGGCGCTGGGTTCCACCCCTAGGACTAGATGGAGAGAAAAGTTTCAATGCAGACAGGTCCCAAGGGCTTGGGGGGGAGTGGCTCGAGTGAGTGATACAGAACACATACACACCTTCCACCCTGAGCTCAATCCCTAGTGTGAGTGGGGGGGTGGAGGGGGGAGGGGAGATTGTCACCACAACGGGTGAGGGATCAAAAACTGGAGGACAAAGAGAGAGTGTCATTGAGTATCCTTGATTATGCTGTGTCCCACAGAAACGTGGACAATACCAGGGTACAAGGAGGACTAGGTTCCAACAGGTGCTCAGATTCCACTTCCCTTCCTCACGGCAGGAACACTCTCCTGAAACCATGGCATGGCGGGGCGCGGGGGGGGGGGGGGGGGGGGAGTTGCATTCTCTATTTAGCTTTTGCCCTATTTATTCAATAAATTATCCACATCTCACTAAAACAAAAATCACACCGCCCATAAGCATCTAAGTTGCCCCCAGGGAAACTGAGGCACCTGTAATCAGGGGCCATCTCCAGGGAAAGTCAGGACTGGGGGGGAGGGGCATGCTACCTGTTCTCAGGGATCTGGAAGGCTTAAAACACCTCTGGGGCCGCCTCTGTGTATGTGCAGGAGGTCTGCTGTTCCCACCAGGCAAGGGGGTGGGGGAATTTAAACTTGGAGCCTTGGGTCAAGTCAGATCCCCGGCAGATTCTACGGTGAGCGACTTCACCACTACTCCCAGGCGCTCCGGCGCCTCCTGGGGTTTACCTGCATCCCCATTCATCTGACGGCGAATCGTCTACCTTCCGGACCTTTGGCAAAGGTGCAAAGCCCCCAACCAGCCTCACAGAGCGGGGAGGTCACCGAAGCCGCTCCCAGCCAGGTGGAGGACACCTTCGGATCTCCCAGGCCGCTTCCCCGCACCCGAAAGCAGCCTCACCTTCGGCCTCCCCGCCCTTCCCCGGTGCGTGCGGGATTCGATCTGAGGAAGGCGCCCAGGGCCACGAGCCAGCCAGCCGGCGAGGAAGAAACGAGTTCCCCGCGGCTCTCCAACCACAGAGCCGGGCGGGGCGGACCCTCCCGGGTTCAGCTCCTCTCCTCTCCAAGCCGGGATCCCTGACCCGAGCTGGCCCAGAGGCCGGCGTGCAAGGCAAGCCGGTGGGGGGGGGGGGGGGGGGAGAGGGGGGAGGAGGGGGGGGCAAAAGGGACGCCATTCCTCTCCCCACCCCCGCCAAGCCCCCACCAGATGTTGGAAACGCAAACAATAGGAGAAACGCGCAGAAACAAAAGGCCATTGGCACCAGTCGGGGGTGCGCGCGCGCGCGGGGCGGGCGGAGAACGTTTACGCGGAGGGGGGTCCGGGAGGGGCGGGATCGCCCGTGGTTTCGGGTCTCAGAGGCCAGGGCGAGGGCAGGGGCGGAGGCGGGGGGGGGGGGTGACTTTTTGTGGTGGTCGTTTTGTAGCATTTTGCCACCCACACCTCCGAAGAGTCGGACAGTGGGGAAGAGCCGAAGCAAAGGGAAGTTGGGAGTCGGCACCTTCTCCCAGCCGCGAGCCCGCGGGGCTGGTGGGATTCCAGGTGTCTGGACAGTGGGCCCCTAAACCAGTGAGGTGGGGCGGGTTCTTTTTCCTTTTCCTTTTTAACATCAAACCTCGTCGGCCCCACTGTGGGGAGGGGGGAGAGGGGGTGGGGCCCCGGGCTGAGTGGGTCCCGTGCAGCCCCCCACCTCCTCCTCCCCGAGCCTCCACACGCAAAAGTCCTTCCTGGACGCCCAAGTGATTTTCACACACACACACACGCACACACGCACACACACACACACACCTCCTGCCAGGGCGCACTTTTGTAAAAGTTCCTCTTCCCGCCACCGCAGCTCAGCGCGCAACTCCACCGGCATCCAACCGCGACCCCAGGGGGAGATCGGGGTCGGATGAGCACCCCGCAAGGAGGACTTTTGATTGCTGTCGCTTTTTAAAAGGACCAAGGCCACAAGACGCGACCCTCGTTCCCGCCCCTTGAAGTGCGCACCCCAGGCAGCCAGCCTAAAACCCGACTCCCGAACCCCCAGAAGCTCCGAGAGCGACGGGGAGCGGAGGAACGCCGTGTCCGGGAGCGAGATCTCCCACCTCTCGCTCCCCTGGTTGGAGCACCCGCCCCGAGGCGACCCGCACCTCGGCCCGCCTGGGCGCAGTTGGGAGTGAGGAGCGACGGGGGTCGCGCCGTCTCACCTCGCCGGCCGCGGGTTCTTACCGTGGACAACGTCAGTCTCAGGGCCCGGCCGGCTCCTTTGGCCCGCTCGTCTGCGACGGGAACGAGGAAACAAAACAAAACAAAACGGGTGAGGGGCTCCAGAAGACGGGATGACGCTAGTGGATCCAGGCGAGGGGCTTTCTGGCCAGCGCGCGCCGCTCCAGCAGCTCCAGAGCAACCTCCGCACGCACCCGGCGGCGCGGCCCGGCCCGGCCCGGCCCGCCTGCGCTCCACTGCCGCTCCGGGGCGCCGGGCAGGGGGGCCCCTGGCGGCCGCCCGGGGAAACGCAGCTACATGGTGGGAGGAGGGGGAAGGGGGGGGGGGAAGGAGGGGAAGAAAAGTTAACAGGGTCTTTCGGATCCTCCTCCTTCCAGAAAGATTTGAGCAGTCTAAGGGGGTCTCTCTACCTTGGCAGAAAAGACACTGCCTCCGGGGCCACGGTAGCTTCTAGAAAGCGGTTGGATTAGAATGGAGGCGTCTGGATCCACAAAGGCCACTCACTGGCAAGTCATCCAGAGAGGGGCAAATGGCTTAACCTTCTTCATGAGTTTCAGACAGACTGTTAAAAAAATAAACAATGCCAATGGTCTGCTTGATAACAGAACTGAGTATTAAATCATCGGAAAATACACAGAATTACTAGTTAATAAGCTGGGACTTAGAGAACTTAAACTTTGAGGCATAATCCACAGCCCTCTACTTTCTGCTTGCATGATCTTGGTCTGCTTAGGATTTTTCAGGCCTCAGTTATACTCTTGGGTAAATTGGAAGGACTAGTATCTACCCTGCAGGGTGACTGTTAGGGGTAAGCAAACTAATGATAGGAAATACCTCATGGTGAAAGTCTTCAAATATAAAGTTCCTTGACTTCCTGAGGGGAAGAATTGGATCTTCTATATCTTTTTATTCCTCTCAGGATAGCATCTTACTATAAACCAAGACGTATAGACATGACTAAATATTGTCCATATTGTTTTCTGTCACTCTTTAAATACATCAAGGAGAAACTATCAAGGGGTTTGGGATATATACACAAATATCCCAAGAGAGGCTTCTTGCTGATGGCTGGCACTCTACCACTCTAAGCCTCCCATCTGGCATTTTGCTAGTTCATTGGAGGTGGAGTCTTCCAGATGTTTCTGTCCTGGCAGAACTATGGCTGGCTTTGAACTATGATCCTCTAGGTCTCAGCCTCCTGAGTAGCTAGAAGTATAGGAGTGAGCCACTGGCACTGGGAAAAATTATATATACATATACTTTCCCCCTATATCTCATTTCTTACTAGCTGTCCCTTTGCAAATGCCTCTCTACCCATTATTCCCTTCACGACTATGAGAAATAGCAGGGCTTTAAAACTAGCTGAGCCTTTTGCCTGAACAATCACTCTAATTGTTCAACTACTTCCTTACTCAATTTCTTCAGCCAGGTGCTCACACTCACCAAAGCTCTCCCCTTTGAATTTTTTACTTAAAAGCACAATCATCCTTTCAGCCTGAGAGAATCCACATTCCAGAGTTTTTGCTCCAATTTTTCCCATAGAATATGTTGTCATTTGATATACTATATATTTTACTTGGCTGCAAAAAAATCATAATTTTCGTGGCTTCAAACAATATAAATTTCTTGTCTATACTTCCAGAGTGGACAGCAACACACTCATCATTGGTATAAAATCAAGGTCTCAGCAGAGCTGCATTCCTATAGGAGAGAATCCAATTTCTTGTTTTTAACTAGCTTCTTAGAGGCCACCTGGATTCCTTGACCTGTTGGCCCTTTTCTCCATTTTTTTTTTTTTTGTCAGTCGTGGGACCTGAACTCTGGGCCTGGGCACTGTCCCTCAGCTCTTCAGCGCAAGGCTAGCACTCTACCACTTGAGCCACAGCACCACTTCCAGCCTTTTCTGCTTATGTGATGCTTAGGAATGGAACCAGGGCCTCGTGCATGCAAGGCAAGCACTCTATCACTGAGCCACCTTCCCAGCCCTTCCCTTTCTCCTTTTTTAAATCAACAACACAAGGTGAACATCATGATCTCTGTGCCTTCTTCCACTTACAAGTATCTTACTGATTACACCCAGCCAGTCCAGTTTTATCTCCCTAAGGTCAGCTGATTAGTAAACAATTCCATCTCAACCTAATTCCTCTTTGCCAAAGGAATGTAAAGTATTCACAGGTTATAGACATATGTTACATAATCTTTGGTCTCATTCATTACTGTATCCCTAGATTAGATCAATGTGTATATAGTTGATACAGACTGTTTTGCATTCCTTTAAAAATTAATGTGATGAAACCCTAACTGCATTGTGATGGTGTTTGGAGATAGAGTTTTTAGGGGAGGGGTAATTAGAGATGGATGAGGTCATGAGGATTGGTAAGACCCTCCTTGTGGAAGTAGTAGCAGCAGTGGAAGAAGATTAAGATGAAGAAGGAGGGAAAAATAAGATAGAAGTAAAGGATATGAGGGGGGAAAGGAAACAGATGAGGAAAGAGAGAGAAAAAAACTGGGGCAAGAGAGTGCTTTCTCCATGCAACTAGAAGACCACTAACCGCAAACCAGGAAAGGGAGTACTTACTAGGATCCAAAATGTTGCCTTCCTGGTTTTAAGTTTCCCACCCTCCTAAACTGCAAGTGTGTACTATAAGGCCTGGTACTGGTGACTCATGGCTATAATCCTAGCTACTTAGAAGGCTGAGATCTGATGGACTGGGAAGTTGGCTCAGTGGTAGAGCGCTTGCCTTGCATGCCTGAGGCCCTGGGTTTGATTCCTCAGCACCACATAAGCAAAAGGAAAAAAGCCGGAAGTGGTGCTGTGGCTCAAGTGGTGGAGCGCTAGCCTTGAGCTAAAGAGCTGAGGGACAGCGCCCAGGCCCAGAGTTCAGGCCCCACGACCGGACCCACCCGCCGCCCCCCCCCCCCAAAAAAGGCTGATCTGAAATAAAGGTAGCTCTAAAATCTCAGCCTGAGCAGAAAGTCTGTAAGATTCCATCTCTAAAATTACCAGTAAAAGTAGAGCTAGAGGTGTTGTTCAAGTGGCAGAATGCCAGCTATGCAAACATGAGCCCCTGAGTTCAAATATTAACACTGTCTAAAACAAAATGAATAAATAAACAAAAAAAGAAAACTGTTTTTTAAGTCATATGGTCTATGGTATTATCTTATCTTAGCCCATGAAGACTAATTAATACTCAATAAATACTTATTGAATTATTCAATGGAGAGAAATCACTGTAGACACTGCAAAACTGTGTCCAAAACATACTGAATACTGGCTAAGTTGTTTTTATAGAGAATCTCATTTACTTTTCACAAGATCCCTGCGTGGTAGGTACAGGTAAGGATAGAAAGTGTACAGGCTGATTAGTTTCCCCAAAGTCATGCATCTAACATACCATGTAGATGAGCTTTGAACTTGGTCATGTGAAGTAAGTCATAGCTATAACCTTCATCTTCCCCTGCCACTATTATGTGACAATAAGGAATCTTGGGTCTTGGCCCTCAAGATGTGTGAAATCTGATAAAATGTCAGAAGAACTACTAAGAGCAATAATCCACAGAAGAGCAGGGGGACACAATAAATTTCTATGGGACATAGATATAAGAAATGTCAAATCTGTCTGAAACAATCGGGGAGAGCTTTAGTAAAGGTTCAACATTTGCAATATCCTCCAAAATGAAAAACATAGTTGAAATTTAAGTACAAAGGACAGAGTAAACCACTGGAGAAAAACTACTTGAAATTAGAGGGAAAATTTTAATTTGTTTTGGAAACCAAGATTAATTTAGCTCTTTTGAGGACTAGGAATGTAGTTAGATGATAAGGGCTGGGATCCCAAATGGTAAGCTAAAGATCAAAGGAAATTTAATTACTTTTGTTAGCAATTATTAATGGAGAAAAATTACCTGAAGCAAATGCCAAAGTAATGTCTAAACCTGTCACTCCAAAGGGAACAACTAAGAGAAAACAAACTTGGTGGATAAAATATTTTAGAAGAATGTGAGCTCTGTCATTAGCAAAGGGCAATTAGAGACTGCAATTCTGGGTCCAGAACACAACCTCATTCATCTAATATTCCTAAGGTTTTCAAAGAGCAGAAATGGGACTGATAGCAACTGGCCTATTCCCAATCTGTGGGCAAGCATGGTTTTTGTTTTGTTTTGTTTTGTTTTTGCCATTTCTTTTCATTAAGGCAGTAACAGGCTGAAATGGCTAACTTAAGTTGCCTAAGATTATACAACTAGTAAGACTGGGGCATTGCTTCTGAGTCTTATGGCTAAAAGCACAGTGTATGTTTTGATACATAAGAGGAAAAGGCCACACATTATACCACATTGTCAGTTTCCATGCTGCTTCAGAGAAACCTCCCTTGAAATAAATCTGAGGAATCTGGATGGAGCCCTTGTGAATTTTAATTGTAGCGAAAGAGAAGGACTGACTTGGAATAGTCTAGAGACATAGTGATGGAAGGGTGATAGGAGGTGAAGCTAACTTCTCTGAATCGAAGGGACCTTCATCTTATAAAATTGGGATAATGATAAAGGTGATTGTATGGACTTAATGAAAGAGTGCATATAATGTGTTTAGTTAGCATGGTTCATTTTCATGTGGTAAGTGTTCAAGGAAAGCCATCTATTGTCCTTTTTGGCATAGTTCTCTCTCTCTCTCTCTCTCTCTCTCTCTCTCACACACACACACACACACACACACACATACATACCGGACACACATATAGTCCCTCCTTCATGATGGTAAGAGACTTTAGCACATGCTATAGTCGTATGGAATCAGAAGCTTCGAAGTCCCTTGGAATATCATCTCTCTGATGGGGAATACAAAGAGAATTTTTATTATTATTTCTATTGTGAAAATACCGTACCGAGGGGTTACAATTACATAAGCAAGGTAATGAGTACATTTCTTATCAAGCATTGTTGCCTCCTCCTTTGTTTCCCCTTCCCATCCCTTCCCATCCCCCCGCCACTCCAAAGTTGTAGTTTTTAAACAGTTTGGTATTGAATGAAAACATGCACATTTTTCATCCAAGTCAGTGCAAATTAATTTTCAACATTTCCAGTTTACATTTTATACATTTTCCATTAGAGAAAATTCTTACTGGTCTTCAATGGGTTGTGAACAAAATCCCCAAAAGATTCTGTTACCAAATCATTGTCTTACAGCTTCCCCTGAGAGGGTACCAAAAAAGCCAAAGGATACTGGAAAGGTGTCACCATGGCAACATCACAG